TGTCTCTGTATCAGCAAACATGAATTCTGGGTAGTGAGTGTGTGAATGACATCAGTAACACTTATATTTACCACGAGACACGTGATGCCAAGTTCTGTGTGTGAAAAAACATCCTTTAGAAATTAATTGTTTTGTTGCTTTATATACAGATGTTTCAGAAACAACTTCACCACAACCAACATCTTCATCATCATCATCTTCTTCTTCTTTCTCATCAGTCAGGACTCCACTGATCACAGGAGTTTCTAAATCGTCTCCATCTAGTTTTACACCAGCAGGTGCTGAAACACAAACATGTGATTTATGGTGTAACTTGTGAGCAGCTCTGACACCAGAGAGATATTACTAAATATAAAAAAAAATATTAGATTTTCAACTATACAATAAATAGTTGAATTTAATAAATTTAAATCATTGATGTATAAAAAATAATAATACTAACAAGCATCCACTCATTCTTGTTTTGATATTAGATCTATTGAACTGATTTAGCATTCTGTAGTTTGCTGTCTGTGGTCTATCAAGACAACAGCTGCTGTTTGTGTGGCATAAATGGATACCTGACATTCAGTGGCTCACAGACTTTTCACGGGCTCAATGATAAGGTTTATAACTCTTAACTAGCATTTCCATCCTGAAAAACAAAATGTTGTGGTATATATATATATATATATATTTTTTTTTTTTTTCCCACAATTTAACCTCAGGTCACAGTCTCTTTAAACAGAGCCAGTTTAGAGTGATTCTGTGCTCAAAAAGGCACATTCAGCTACACATGAGCATAACTGAGTATAAGACAAGAACATTATTTACACCGCTTGTGTGAATGTTCAACGTGAAACCTATAACCTGCAAGCCCAGTATCATGCTCTGGTCACTCCTGTCCCAAACATCAAGCTACGCCCGTGATCTGATCAGATATTCAGCTCAGAGTGATCAGATCTGATTGTTTCATCTCCTGTGTTTTCAGGCTCTTCTCTGATCGTCTCTCTGGTTCTGGTTCTTCTGGTTCTGATCATCGTTGGTCTCTTATTACTGTTTCTCTGTAAGAAGCATCAGTCTCGAGGTAAAGCTCCTTCTTAATGTCTTTAGATGCAGAAACTCCATTATACTGAGTTTAAAATGCAAAGATTTGTTGATCTGTAATCCCACTTTGAGTCTGTCGCCATCTACAGGCTGCAATGAGACATGAGCAAAATACAGATATTTGATGATGTGTGAAAGCATTTCCATTAGACACCAGTGTTGAAATGTGATATAATGCATTCATTTAGACTCTTGTTTTGGCAGGCAGTGATTCGTCATCTCAGACTGGAGCAGGAAAACCTGAAGCAGTCAGTCCAGTTACTGTATAAAATAAGATCTTGATTTTTATTCATAATGAGGATAGATTCTAATGCCTCCATCATGAAGATATTCAGAGCTGTTAATAATTTCTCTTTCTTTCCTCAGGTTTCTCACACTGGATGTGATTATGAGGAGATTAAAGACTCTCACAAACAATTACCCACAAACCCCTCTGTTTCTGCTAACTGTGTTTACTC